AAAATACAATATTTTTGGGTCAGCTTTTCGTTGTGTCAATATTTATGGCACCTTCGACTATGATTCTTACTACACGAATTTTATTTTGAGTCAGTTTTTAGACGGTCACTCTATTAACACGTTACTGAGTTCGATGTTCATCCTTTCGACTCAAAAAGAATGTAGGTGAAACCAAGAAATTAAACTAGCCACAAAGTTAAATCTCAGCCGCATTCGTAGCAGATCGCCATGATTCATCAGGGAAACTACAAAAAACACTTGATCAAATTAAACAGTAATTAGGTAAACACTCAATTTTCCAATGGTGTAGGTGTTAACTGGTTAGTCAGTGGAACAAACAAGTTCCGGTTGGACAAAATATTAGTAAACTGAAGTGCTAAAAAGTAAAACAACTGTGACACTTCTGATAACGGAGGGTCATTTCTGTAAGAGGGCATGTATTTATTTAACCGGACTAAGTAACCGGTGAAAGGGCAACTATTGAGCATTCAAATATGAATATAATAATACTTTGCCCGACCCTCGGAGATCGAACACTAGGCATTGTGTAAGTAGCAAATATGTCCACTCTAGTAACGAAGTAGTTAATTAAAAACAATTTTAATAAATAATTACGTTTCAAAGAATCAATTAACTTAGATGTCGAATTCTGTATGACTTTTTAATAGCACACAATTAAATATTATAAAGCTATATAATTTTTTTAATAGCAACACCGTTAACCCCTTTTTAAATGCATCAATCATTCAGTATAACAAGGTTTAAGTACACTGTCAATTATAATAAAATAAATAACAACATTGTATGTACCAACTTGATCCTTAACCTTCATGCTCCTTAATTATTCATTTTAAATAGTTGTAGACTATTAAATTATTATAACGATGACATAAGTAGTCTAGAAGTCGTTCCGTTATTTCTATCACGTGATTACCAATAATTGCTTTTTGCACGTGCCTTGTAAAAACGTTTATATTTCGGAAGGCCGACGCTCGACCGGCCTGCGGAAAACCGCAAGAAGATACTGGGGTTTCAGCTCGAAGCAAATTGCTGGAACTCGTTGGAATGGGGTGGTTTTCTGTTAGTTAGTTATTGGGTCTGACACTAACTAGTGACACTCTCTCTCTCTCGTCTTACGGGAATACCAATTTGATGATTTTTCTGTCAAAAAAACAAAGCGTACGCAGCGCCCCCAAGTGCCACAGTAAAGAGAGGTGACCTAAACGTTTTCTTTTTCTCTATGTGTAAAGAGGTATTCGCAAATGTGAAATAGGGTAAATTGTCTCCTCATATATTTACACAGTGTTAGGTACCTACTTCTTGGTTGGAATAATGCAACGCAAAGTTTGAATCAATGGAAAAACGCAATATTATTTGAGTGGTGGTAATAAAAGTAAATACCGTTTTCAGTTTTATGTGTAGCAAATTGTTTTTCGATTTCTATAAGATAAGAGGCGTAGTTTACAGCGATTTAAATTATTGAGCCTTGAAGCTCCGAAAGCAGGAAAATACAAGTTAGTTATAGAGACATTTTACAGAGGTGCATAGCACATGTACAACTACAATGTAACCTCTTTTAGCGGATATGTTAATACCAAACCATAGCATTTTTTGAGGAGGAAAAATGATTCTATGATTTCTCTCGCCTTGAGTGAGGCGAGAAAGCGTCAGACTCTTACTGGCTAAAAACCACCCTGTTCCTACTTCTTTTTTATATTTGATGGGACTGACGTTTGACCACTATCTCGCCTGGTGGTAAGCGATGATGCGGTCTACGATGGAGCACGTCGTCCCATAAGCAACCTATTCACTCGGGCGTCGGGCCTTGAAGACTCCCAGGTTATATATTATACCCTTCCGGAAATACAGACTCCTGCTTTGAACCGGAGCCCCGGTAACTCTTTACGTAATCCGCGGTACCGTAAATCAAATAGTTATAAGTAGCATGCATTAGACTTTTAAGAAATGAGCAGAAATCAATTAATCTGTCAGGTCAGGTCAGGTCATATGCAGTAAAACTACAATGTATTAAAATGTTACAAAAGATAATTACATTTTACCCGTAACTAAATACATGAATATGACTCCTATTACGATTTCTAGAACATTGTCACCACTATGATAAAGGCAGACAAAATATTTATAACCACAATAATACTATTGTTGGACAGTGTTGTGTTATCAGTCATAATTTTTTATCACAGCCTTATCATAGAGTAAACATCATTGGTCATGGGGAACGCTGTTGTTTTCGTTTGTAGAACATACTATTTAAGAATGGATAGAGATAAATAATTAGCTAGGTTTTAAGTTCTTTATTTTTCGCTCGTTTGTTAAGAGTTTGTGACTGTCTTGTTGATCCCCTTTTTAAAAGGCCAGTAATGCACCTGTGACTCTGGTGTTGCGAGTTTCCTTTCCATCAGGTGACCCGACTCCTCGTTTGCCTATTATTCCATTTAAAAAAAAACTGCGCCAGTACTGTAAGTTTCTAATTAACTATAGCTCTCCGGCTCAATACAGAAGTAGGAACGGAGTGGTTTTTAGTCAGTAAGAGCCTGACACTCCCTCCCGCCTCGCTCAAGGCGAAAGAAGCCATTGGATGATTTTTGATCCCCCACAAAAGAAATTGTCGTGGTGGCCCAGAGGTTTAAGACGCCCGCTTCTCATGCATGAGGGTGCGGGTTCGAAACCTACCAACGGCAAGTACCAAGATTATCAAGATACTGACAAACGGTGAAAGAAAACATCGTGAGGAAACCTGGGCTTATAATTTGAAATTATAAGTTTGTAATCGCCAACCCGCATTGAGCAAGCGTGGTGATTAATGCATGCTCAAACCTTCTCAGTGTGAGAAGAGGCTTTCCTCAGCAGTGGGCATTTATAGGCTGTTGATGATGACAAAAAAACCTTTTTTTGTGACGGGGGATGCTTCAAAAGGCGCTAAGCTTTTTACGGAGAAATACCTTTATACATACACTGAGAAAAAGAATATTTGAAATGGACAACAATTCTTAAGTAGGTACTTAATTTCGCAGATTAGTTGCCAACTATCTACCTAGGTATTTTATCTAATCAGTTTTAAAGACATACCAAGTTCAAACTAGGTACATACCAATCTGATATGAAATTGTATTATTATGAAGTATTTAGAGTGTATTGTTAATGTAACAATATGTTTCTAATATTTATTATGCATTGTTATTTCAAAGTGGCTGCCTAACATAGTTGTAGGTAGTTGGTCTATTTTGTATTTAATGTTTAAATCGGAATTAACCTATGAGTGCATAGGCTACATTGTACATAGGTATTATACCTACTTTAAAAATATAACTCATGAATATAAGCCTCTAGCATGGCTTGAAACTAGTTGGGTTCCTCGTCAAACAGTTACATGAGTAAGCCGAAAAAATAATTATTAATTTAGTAAGTATGTCTCAAAAGTTATAATATAAACATTAACGTAAACCCTTAAATTGAGTCATAACATTATGTTTTGTAGTTGGTACATCAACAATACATTTTGTTATTGAAACAGTGTCATCATTTTCCTTATATAACCATCCTTAAATATACAATTTAATTTGTAATAACTGGACACCATTGTTATGAAAATATAATGTGAAGTCTGATAACATTGCTTCGGCATTTTTTTACTACTAAATGGTGTATGAAGCATAGAATACCTAGAAATTATGACAACTAAAGGAAATTACATTAATCATCCTAATATTATAGAACGAAAGGTTTTTGCATTTGTTTTTTGCCAAAAAGGAGAAAGTTCTCAATAGGTCCTTTCTGTGTCTGGAGATAGTTTGGAAACTGGGGAGTAGTAATGTATAAAAATGTGCAATAGACATTAAGGTTTTACATAAAACTATTTCATTATTAAATATTTCATAAAAGACATACAATAGGCACCTACTTAAATATTGAATTTTTGATTAAGGAAAAGCTATGATGAAAATATCAATACTATTTCATTTCAACAGGAATTTGTATCATAACTACTTATTATAATATTATGACATCCAGAGGGCATTGCTGTAACTATGAAACTTTATTCAATTCATAGATATAATGTTTATAACATTTACATAAATGAGTTATGAAATACTCTAAAGTATGCAAGGTATGTATGAAGTATGATAAATATTTAAATTATTTTTCTAAATGAGCTGAAACATGACACACACACACACACTTATTTATCTTACTTGTCTTTTATTTCAAAAACAGAATAAATTGGAACCATTTTTAAAAACAGTAAGTACAACAACAATGTAAGTAACACACATTGCCACCCGTATCATAAAGACTAGTTACTTTTTTTTTAAATTGAGTGCAGTGACCGAAAGAAAAGGCAGTAAGGTACCTAAAGATAATGTAATTCTTTAAACTACTAAACATAAAATATAAATGCCATTAACCTGTATAGCTAACTAACTAATGTATATTTTTTTATTATTTTAATCAATCTTGTTATTATCATAATAAGCATGCAACACAAAGGTTTCCACATTCTTGAGTTATCAGTTTTTATATTAGAAATTCTACTTGAAACTACTTGGTAAATAACTGGTATTAAAATAATATGCTTTAAGTACACATGTAATTCTATTTTCACTTTCAAATTCCAATATAATAAGCAAACAAGATAAAGAGAAAGTGAACACAGTAGGCACTTGACATTCTCATATCAAAAAGCTTGTAAAAAAAATAAACAGTAATGTAGACATCATCGACCTCTTTGCAGACTAATGTACCAAAGACAATCCCAAAAATAGCAAAGGCATTACTACATTCAGGCTAATTGATTTATGAGAAACAAATAGGTTCAAATCATACACGCGTGGAAGGTAATATCGTGCGAATTTGCAACGCATTATTCATGATTATTTTTATGGCTTTTACGAAAGGAAACCGTCTAGCACATTCTATACAATAACAATGTCCAACCACTTATTTGTATTAGAATTCCTTATCTGTACAGGTGAACTTACCTGAGTAGAATGACTAACATTACGAAAAGCGCCACGAGAGCGCCGATCATAATAAAAATATTTGGCAAATCTGCCAGTGTCAGTCCTGTGGTACCCATTTTTTGAGTTTTCTTTTCACTATCACAACACTAAATAATCCACTAAAGTTTCGTAACCGACGGGAGCACACATCAGTTCACTAAACAATCTAGATATTTGTCTCAAAAGTCACGACCTTGCTACAAGATACAATTTGCAAAATCCAATACAGGATCGAACTGTTTCACCTAAAGACTGCAAAATGTACACCGGGTGTATTGCACAATAATATTTTCATAAGAACACAATATCAGCGGTGCGAGCAGCCGCGTTAACTCTACGTTTTATACATTGTACCGTTCACAAACAATAACAATGATCATTGATCGAAAAATCAAGCAAATTACGTGTTCCCTTGCGCGAGTTTTTGACAGGAATGATGCGATCCAAGACGAAGTGCGAAGAAAAGTTCGACAACGACAGCAAAAATTGAACGAATGAATTGAATGATAGTGAGCAGTGTGAAAGAGATAGACGACACATTTAAGCAATATTTCCGTACGTTAGAGCGAGAAAGAGAGAACAGCTGGCTCTTGACATTTCATTGACGTTTCTAATGAAGCGTTCCAGTTTTATAACGTTAGATATTTAGCATTTTTATGTTTTTTTAATTAACCATCCGTTGTACGCCGCGTGATGCTTAACCACGGCTTAACAGAATAAAATAGGTAAAATCAAAAGAGATAATTATGTAGATTATTTCAGCATCACAATATTGTGACTATTTTTACAAAAAGAACCGGGACAGGGGTAACACTGAAGCAGTACCTAAACATAAATGTGGAGTGTGAAGGATTATTATGTCGACATTTGGCCATCATCTCCCCTGGTGGTAAGCGATGATGTGGCTGACGATGGAGCACGCCTACCTATGAGCAACATATAATAATAATAGGAACTAATAATAGCCTCAACAACCACCTTAGGAGGCTTTTTTTTTTTTTTTTAAAGGGGGAAAATCGCTAGGCAATTGGGTCAAGGGCTTGATTCAGAAGGCAGTTCTCTTTGAAATTAATTATGAGGAGGTTTCTGTCTCTGGAGCCCTAACCACCGTTAGCTTGGACCATACTCCCACTACTGGTTTGGACAGCACGGTTAGTGCGGTGGCTGGGCAACCGACTGCCACGCAACGTGTCGTGGGTTCGATTACGGAGCAACTCTTTGTTTGTGTGATCCACAAATTGTTGTTCCGGGTCTGGGTGTCATGTGCATGTGATGTTCAATGTTGTATGTTTGTAAATGCACCCACAATACAGGAGAAAGTTTAAAAAAATACTAGTGTGGGGAAAGTTTAAAAAAACATAAGTTCTGTCACTGGTTGGCTCTTATTGTATTTTTTAATATAATTTTTTATTTTGTAGTACCTATATAAAAATGTAACTCTAGATGAATTTTAAATAAATATATCGAAATAGTAATTCCAAAAATCTCAGAACTAAGATCACAGATATTTTTATCTTAACATAATATTAGATAGTTCCCTCATTTATTAACATACTCATATTAGTGACTTAGTTAAATATTATATTTATCTTCTTGCTGACTGTGGGGCAAAGGTTTCGTAAAAGGAGATTCACTTTTGTACATGAATGGTGATATATCTACCCAAAAACATTGCATTTATTAAATTGCCTAATATACCTACTTACATATCTCTCACCATTTCAATAAATGTAGGGTATCCTTAATAGGAAATGCAATGTAAATACCGATGTAGGAGGCTACAACAACACCGTATTATGTAAATCACTCGATTTACCCGACCACCCTCTGATTCGTTCAAGTGTACGTACAGTGTGAATACCGTCGTAAGTGGGGCGAAGGGTACCTAATAAATTATGTTTAGACCTTTAGACTTGATGGTAGTGTGACTTTGTATAACGTAGCTACCGATTACCAAATATTATGGTGACACCGGTAGGCCCAAAGGATATGCCCCTTTGACTTTAGGATTTAACTCGTCGAGTACCGTCATTATAGACACAATTATAGAACAATAGGTTGCGGTCACCGGTAACCGCTCCGTGTTTGACAGTAACGCCTCTGAATCTAGATATTGTGGATAATCTAGATCTAGATGGTGCATGTATCTAGGCTAGACTACCCGAGCGTACGGCGCGTCGCGTTCAGCGCGCGCCTCAAAGAGCCATCAAATCACCACGGATGGGGCCCAATAGGGATGATGCCGATACGGAGCCGCGGAGAAATTAACGGGTTACCGGGGCTCCGGCTCAAAGTGCAGGAGTAGGAACGGGGTGGTTTTTAGTCAGTAAGAGTCTGACGTGAAGCGGGAGAAGTCATTCGATGATATTCCACCCTTAAAAAAATCTAGGCTAGACTACTTATAACAAGTACCTAAGGTAATCTAGTCGTTACCTAATGAAGATTTAAGTCTGGCCATTTCAAATCACAATAATTTTTGTTTAGCTAAGAATTCTAATTTCAAATTAATTTTATTTTAAAAATATGGATTTTTGTTCGAAAGTACCTACATAGTCATTTGTTTATTGACGAGTGTTACATTTTCATCGCATTTAAATTTTTTCGTCATCATATTTATCTAAGTAATGTACCTGGGGTACAAAAAAAATACTGCCGCGTTCCCGTTTCCGACGAAATGATGAAATAAACAAAACTTGCATTCGTATCTAAAATATTAACCCATTATAAAACCGAAAAATTGGTAAATGTGCTCGTAAATACGTATTTAATGGAACGGAATCGTTTTAAAATGTCCAATAACAGTCGTTAAATTTAATTGTAAACGTTAATTCTTACACTGGAAATCGTAAAATTGTATGACAATAAATGGAAAAACTTCGATGAACCCCGATTGAATTTCGGTCCGAAGAAAATTTTCCAATGAAAAACTTCGCGTGTCCAATTGTTCTAAATAACGTAAAAAATATTCAAATCACTACATATTACCGAGGGGAATTGTAATTGGGCAAGGGTTTACGTACACTTCAGCTTAAAAATAAAACTTTTATTGGCTTTATAAACGAGATTTGTGTTGTAGTAGTCTAGTAAATAAGTCTGGGAATTACATATGTGTTACGGTAATGTAGTAGAATAATTACTTATGCTTATATTCTCAATCTCCAACCTGCCTGCCTGTCAAGCGTGATGATTATGGCAAATCCTCTTGAAATGAAGGCACAGAGTCAACGCCCTCAACAAAAGTGAATACATAAGAGTAAAATTCGTTTTACCTTACCTTTCTAAGATTATTTAGACACCACTGATAGACAAAACGGCGAAGGAAACTATCGTGAGGAAACTTGGGCTTATAATTTCTAAATATTATTACCTATAAGTTTGAAATCACCCACCCGTATTAAACAGCGTGGTGATTAATGCTCAACATTTTCACCGTGCAAGAAGAGGCCTTTGGTCAGCAGTGGTGGATTATAGGATGTTGATGTAATGTGACATGCACCTCGTTGGTCGAGTGGCCGGTGGCCACAGCAAAGTATGAGCAACACAAATAACAAATATGCACCTTTGACCACCTCTTTACGAAATAAATAATTAAAAATAGCAAATTAAACCATTAAATGTAGTTTTATTGTAACTATGAAAAAATATTAGACACGTATTTTTTTATTTTGTCATATAATAAAACAATATGTACCTACTTAGATAATACGAATCAAGTTTAGGAGTGGGGGCTAAATCGTCATTTCTACGTATAAAAAAAATGTACATAGTACTGACGTCACGCGACATTTCAAATCAATATGTCGTCGAAAATATACGTTTCTGTAAAAAAATAAAAAATTCGAGTCTAATGATTTAAAATAATCTACCAGACGAACATTAAAATAAAAATTAGGCATCTACTCTATTCTATTCATAAGTGTAACTATGTAGGCAATGACTAATGTCGTTCATTATGTATGCCCTTATGTGGGCTCCCCGCATGTCATGTATTTAACATCGATTACCCGCCGTGACGCGGCCATCAGCTATCAAATGTTTATGAAACAGTTAGGCCTATAACGGTGATTCTACATGTTTTATTTCTTTATTATTGTGCAATATTGAGTGTTTAATTATTTTAGAGAAAATATCGAAACAGTCAAGATGGACAAACGACTTGAGTCGCTGGGTGGAGGTTGTTTTCAACCGGCCGATCTGGAACCGTCTGGACGTATTTGGGGCCTTTTTTTGAGGGGGGAAAATATCCAATTACTTCTCCCGCCCGGGTGAGGCGAGAGGGAGTGTCAGACTCTTACTGACTAAAAACCACCCCGTTCCCACTCATGCATTTCGAGCCGGAGCCCCGGCAACCCGTTAAGTCTTCCGCGGCTCCGCTTCAGCATCAGCCCTGTTGGGCCCCACCTGTGGTGGTAAGATGGCTCCTTGAGGCGTGCTCGGCGTCCGCAGGCCCGTGCATGTCTTTGAGGCCTGTGTTCGGCAGTAAACCTCTTGTAGCTGACATGATGATAACAATGATGATGGAACATAAGCCACTTAACTTTGCATATTGCCATAACGATGGAATTATTTAACATTGAATGAAATGCATTATATACACAGATAATAATTATTATGTATTCTATAAAAAAAAGAATCTTTCTATCTACTTATAGCTTGAAAGTAAATAACATGAGTAAGTGACGTAAGATGTTTCACTTCTCAGTCCACCTTAATATGGCAGCATCTACCAGTCTACAATGCACCGATATTTTCTTGACAAAATCTAGGTCTCCAACTGTTCCAATGGTTATGAAACCATTGAAAAACCCAGTCAAAAGAAAGAAATAAAAAATGACCGTATCCTCTAGCCTACATTGCGCCCTACCACCGCGGTTGTCATGTACACAGGCCGACACAAACTGTAAACAAAACATGGATCGATAATTTCTACAACCACAACTAAAAGCTCAGCGGCTCTCGTAACGAATACTCGTGCTCAAATTAAATTAAAAAATAATATCTGTCATTTGCGATACCGGCGCGAATTTTGACATAAAATTTGGCGGGATATGCTCGCGAGTTTCACGTTCGGATACGCGAATGAAGGATAATTTTGTGTGGGACTGTTCACGTATCAAACTGTGGAACAACGTGGCATCCTGTATGGAGAAATGGTTCGGTGATAAACGGCTGTGGTTATTTGGCAACAACCTGCCGCTGCTACCGAGAAGGTAAATTATATTTAAAAGATTAAGATTAAGTGGTAAAACTGTAAGATAGTACATATTACAGGCAATTCAATGTGATAATGCAATCGTTCTTACATGTAAAAAACCCTCTGAGAAATTGGTATTTGTGAGTCAATCAAAAATATTTATTTTGAGTTAAATATCAATCTATCTCATATGACAATAGGTATAGTGTAATTAGCACCAGGTTTTTTAAATTATTTCTATTGAATTT